CCTCGAGGGAAGCAAGGGGGCGGGCGAGGGCAGGGCGGTGGGGGAGGAAGAGGGTCAGACGGGGTGGGGCGCAGCCTGCCTACCCGCAGCTCCGGCTCCTCAAAGTAGTGCAGAGACAGTGTCTTCAGGTCATGGGTGCCCGGGTCGTACTCCACCACAGACAGCTGGGGGCAGCAGGTCAGAGCTTCGACCCGCCACTGCGCTCTGCCCAGCCTGCCGACCACCACCCACCGCTGTGCCCAGGACCCCACCAAGCCCACCGCCCACCTTGGCGTCTTTGAAGCTCAGCAGCAGGGCATCCCGCTTGGCGCCTGCCAGCTGCACGCTGGCCATGGACATGACGTTGCCGAAGAAGGAGAAGGAAGCCACCAGTTCCAGCTTCTCGCGGTGCTCCCTGTGAGCCTTGCCCTCTGGGGGAGAGGAGGTGGGTACAGGTTTGGTTCCCTCGCCGCAGCCGCCCACCCTCAGGCATGTGGCCAGCACAGCCGCCCGGGTGCTCACCTGTGCTCCTGTCATTCTTGGTCGGGGCCTGGAGGAAGGAGGGGAGGCGCAGTGAAGAGGCGCTGCTGCACCAGTGGCCCCACCTCGTAGAAGGACGAGGAGGAAAGACCACCAGGGCTGCCCCGACTGCACCCTCAGTGTGGTGGGGAGCACGAGGCCTATGGAGAGCCGCGCACACCCAGCCCCACAGGCTCACACCTGGGTCCCCAACCTGGACACAGGCTTCTCCTGAGCCCACCCCATGCAGGGTCAGAGGTGGGGCAGCTGCTCTACGCAGCCCCAACCTGCCTGGCTCTGCCCCCACGGAGTGGAACACGGGGCCACAGAACTAAGGGGGGGGGGTGTAAACGGGGCTAGAGCAATAACGTTCCGTGTCACTTGGGGCAAAAGCACTCATCTGAGCCAAAACGTCATAAATCCAGGAGGCCTGCTGCATCTCCAATGTAACGAGGGAGGAAATGACACAAAACGTGCAACAAAAACGAAATAAAAACACAGGACTGACTGATACAAAGCGAAGCCGAGCAGGAGGACACAGTAAGAAATAAAGAACAAACACAAAGACGCTGAGTGAGCCCCAACTACCGGGAACCACATCCACGTGACAAACACCCCAACGAGAACACGTTACTACTGGACAGAGTGGGTCTGAAGGTAAAAGCATTCGAGTTAAAAAGAGACACTTCGTGGCTAAAAGGTCAGTTCACAAGCAAAAGCTACTGAAAAAGTATAACATCACCCCGAGTCTGTCTCACGAAGCAGCTTTAAGACACACACACACACACACACCTCGATAATCCTGCAGGGCAAGTGCCCCACCGCGGCCACCTTTAAAATGACCCTGAATATTCTTAACTTTTGTCTCTTTCATGTAAATGTGAGCGTCAGATCACAAAGTCTAGTGAGAAGCTTATTGCATCTTTGAGATGAAGAGCGTTGATGGCTGGACCGGAACGGCTTTGTGACGCTCCGCGCCCGCAGGTGTGTGGCCAGGGGCACAGCTGCTCGGGCTCCAGGGCACTGTGCTGGGCCAGGCCCA